AGCATCGCAGACGCTCTACGAAAGGGGAAACTGGGCAAACTGCCCTACCTTCCTTTCTGCACAGGGCTCTGTGGTCCTGGAGGCCGAGCAGCTTGCCACAGCACACACACAAGGTCACTGGAAAGGCAGGAGACCCGAACCGGACCCCTGACTCCCCTCCATCCCACCAGCACCTCCAGAGGGAGAAACGGCTTCTCTGCTCCAAGCGGGGAAGAGGCCACAACCACTGAACCAGGCTATGGAAACGTCTCTTCACTTTTAAATGTGGTGATCTGAGATGGACAAAGCTCGTGGTTAGTATGTGGGAACACTGAGCACACTGGGGCCTGGAGACCTCTGCAAAATTAATTCAAACGCTCCAGTAAATGCAAGAAAATTATTGTCTTCCAGTGCTGTCCAGGGCAAGGAACACAAGGTCCTCTGCAAGGAGAGGCAAGGTTGGTCCCAAACAGCCCCATGCTGCAACAAAAACGCTTGGGGTCTTTCTCAAAAGAAACGTGCTGTGACCTTGACGTAAGCACCTGAGGCATGAGGGAACGCATCCAAAAATCACCTCCTACGGACACAGGGGGTGGTTGCATATTAGGAAGCAGCTGTGGAGAAGAAACATCTGCTGTAGAAGTTCTTCCGGTGGTCCAACAAAGTTGTCCGATCTCCTACTTCAAGTGGATTCAAGAGCTAAGCGAAAGCTGGCCGCAGCCGCGTTCCTCAGCGACGGCCGCAGCGGGTGCTGCTGCAGGAGCCGGGGTGCCGGCAGGTTGTGCAGCGTCCCGGGACGCGGGTGCGAAGGAAGGAGCCAGGTTCCCCTCCCCGAGCCCTGCCCCAGCGGCGGCTGCTGCTCTATCACACAGAGTCTGACGAAAAAAGGAACGACTTTCTTTGAAGGGCACAACCTTCTGTTCTGCGTGAGCTCAGCCCACCCAGACCGAACGCGCGCGGCAGTGCAGAGCCCCGCTCCACCCTGAGCCCCGCTGTGAGCCGCCTGTTGGAGACTTCCGAAATCCGGTGTTCATATCAGACATCATGTCGGCAGTCTGGGGGCATAAGCTTCATGGGCCGAGCGCTCCTGTCTCTGGAGGGGTTTGCAAGTTAAAAAGAGCCCAACTTTAATATTAAACACCAGCGAGGCTAAGACGCCCGTCGCCTGAAGCAAAGAGCGCTGTGGGGCCACAGCTCAGATTGAGCAGTGCCGCAGTCACCTCCAGAGCTGAGTGTCACCGCCGGGACCACCGCAACGGCAGCCGCCATGTCCCAGACGCACAGAGACGGGAGGGCAGACAGAGACGACCTCCTCTTAATGTTACTCCTCGGTTGCTTTCTTTTTTCCTTGCTTTTTTTTTTTCCCAAGTTTTCAGGTACAGACCTGAATGGAGAGCAAAAAGCCACGGGGCAACGCAGTGGCACCCACGTGCCCTTGGGTGAGGGGGTACGCACACCAGGCCCCGCCGGCAGAGGTGAGGTTTCTGGGCGCACGGCGAGCTTCTCGGCCACCGATCCGCTCCCACTCAGCTGCCGGTGTGCGCGCTGTCTGCTGGGGGGGACACGGTGCCTGGTCCCGAGCGCCCACGGGGCTGGGGAGCGGCAATTCCTGCCGGGTGGGCTGCCAGGGACGGGGAGATCACGGGAACTGAAAGCACTCCAGCCCGCTCTTCGTGCAGGGTGGCTAATTAATGCTCCTCATCTCCCCCGAGCCCGCGTGCGTCCCACCAGCAGACCGAGCCCCAGCCAGCCCAGAAGCAGTGCTGGCAAGAGGCTCAGCCTGCCCGCGCTCCTGGAGTCAAAAAATCCTTTCAGATGAACACTTTAATTTTGTTCCAATCAACCAAATCATCACAGAAGCGGCTGCCTACGCACCTTTAGACCCCGGCTGCGGCAGGCTCCTTGGGGAGGCTGTGATTAATGAAAAAGACCAACTTCCTTAATAGCTTTGGAGGGAGTCGCTCCCTGCTCTTCCCTTTGGGTTGTCTCGTGCCTTCGTTCCTCCGACTCCCTCCTCTGCCCATGAACGGCATCTGGAGAAGGTGACCTTGAACAAGGGCCTTTGGAAACGGGTATGACAATCCTTCAAGAGCAGCCCCGATCGCTCTGTTTCGGTCCAGCAAGGCATCCGAAAGGAGGGAGGGGGCAGGGCTGACACCGGCCTCCCGGGACCTCAGCAAAACGCTCGCCTCCTGCAGACGCTGCCTCCGGCGGTACGTGACTTTGTGCGCCTCGTCGTTTGATGGGTTAATTACGCCCCTCTCCCTGCGGGGGACGGGCCCCACCGCCACGCAGCTGCCAGGGCTTGGGAAGGAGAGATTTGGGCTCCCCACAGAGCCGCTGCCCATCTCAGCCCCCCTGAAGCCATCTCTTCCAGGCAGCTTTTGAAAACGGGGGTCTGTAATGGCCATCCAGACAGCCGTGCTCTCGTGTGCTGTGATTTCCTTGTTTAGCACTTAATTATTTAACACGGTGCCACTGTAGCAAGCAGGAACTTGGCAGATGAAAAAACCAGCTAGAGCAGATAATGAAGCATCCGGCCTTCAACACGAATCAATCATTAATTCTGAGCAAGCCGCCCTGATTTGAAGTCTAGTAAGAGCATGTTGCGAGAGGGGCCGGAGCAGAGCCGGTCGGGGTGACCTGACCCACCTCAGCGCTGCAGGACGGGGATTTGCCGACAGGCACCTGCATCACTTGCCCCGTGCAGACGCAGATCCGCTTTCTGAAGGCTTCTTCCCTTACTTCTTACGGCTTGAAATGATCTTTTCCAGAGAGGCAGCGCCGGTGGGAATGACTCACGCTGCACTCCAGGGCTGAATTTTCCCTTCAGGTCACTGGGGTGGACCGCGGCTCCATTCACCCCCTGCCCGGCTGCGAGGAGAAGGGTTGAGGCACCTCTGGCCGTGGTGAGCAGAAGAGGGACGATGCCGCCCTGGGTGTTTTTGCCCAGCCCGGGGTGAGCTGGGCTCTCTCCTCCAGCGGCCGGGTGGGATGGGCCAGCAAGGCGGCACCGCGGCACCTCCACCACCCCAAACCTCAGGCACCGCGAGCGGGAAAGAAAGAGAAACAACGGAAATAAAGTACATACGCTCAAGCACACAGGGAACATACAGGTAACGAGATCACAGGCTGACTAGAACAAGATAAATATTTTAACCGTCAAATGTAATTTCCAGACACTATGGGGCAGGGTGGCGGTGGAGTGTGGGGACAGAAAAATAGATGATCAGCTGAAATAACCCAATTACGCATCCCCGAAATGGATCGTTCCAGCCACACGAACAGAAGTACTATTAATTCAGAGATAAAGCAAACATGGCAGGAAAGTTTTCCCTATCAAATCAAGCGGTGCCTGAAGTCAGACATCTCAGCGTAACAGCCTGATACTCATAGGGACCGCGTCCTCCGACCTGACGCCCGCTCCAGGAGCCCTGGGGTCCTCCAGCATCTCAGACAGCCCACGGACCTGCTCGGCAGAGCTCAGGACAACCGAGCACCAGCTTTCCAGGCTGGTTTTTGCGCTCAGCTTCTGGGATCATCCAAACCCAGGGCAGAAAATCCAAAGCATCCCGGAGGGGGCGGGTACAGGGACGCTCGGCTGGGAAAGGCTCAATTCTGCCTGGGAACACCTCCAGACGCTCTCTCGTTCATGCACGCTTTAGGGACACAGCAGGTGGCAACCAAGGGAAAGTCCAGTGACACAAAGGGAGCAGAAAGCTGAAAATATATGGGGTTTTACAGAATTATGTTGGGAATGGATTAACAGCATTTTGGCTTAGTAAATCTGAAGACAGAGTATCAAGAGGTTGTCACATTACATAGACAGAAGAACTATCCAGGCAGAAACAAATGAGAACCAATTTTAACTAAATAGACCTCATGCACAAATAGAATTTTGCCATTAAATATCATTTATCCCATTTAATTAGTATTTTCTGGACACAATACTCTGGACTAAAATACCGTTCCATCTCCTTGAAACTTGTAATTATTGTTGCGACCTATACTGTTACACATCTCCCTGCTTTCTCCATCTTGCATGCCATTTAAGAACCGGCAAGATTTTCAATTATCTATGCTGAACTGTCAAAGATACCTTTAAAAGAAGGGGAATAATGTGTGACTCAATTCCTCTAAAAAAGGGGAAGAGATCATTTTTAGTCAGAATGAACACACTGCATCTTTCATCATTCTATTTTTGCGAGTAAGAGTAAAACAGGCTATTTAAAACATCCATTTAAATGCAAATTTTTATATTCCAGGAAGGGGGGGGGGGGCAGTTAATCATTTACCACAGACAGGATTATTTTCCCCACTCCGCCCCTGCTGAAGTTTTAGACTCGCACCCACACGGGTGCAGGGATTTGCTCACCCCTACGCCTTAAGCGTTCGGAAATCAGGGAGACAACACGGGAGCCGCTGGCTCCGGGAGACGTGCGGTGGCTCCGGCACTTACCCAACATTCCCATCCCTAGCATAAAAGCGTCCATGGTATACGGTAATCCACGTGCCCTTCCTCTCGTCCCTGGTGGAAACATCACTTCTTTAGGTTGTGCTTTCTTACATTCTACCTATTGAGCAGAAACATGTACAAATGAGATGCAAATGAATTCCATGTAAATGTCAAATGCAGAAGTGATCTACTTAAGGGGGGAGTTTTATTTTTAGCATTTGCCTCCCCGCACCGCCTCCCCCTCAAAGGTGAACTTTAAGAATAGTGTAAACGGATTTAAGAGAGCAAACGTGTTATGTCTCTTTAAACACACATAGCAAAACCCCGCTGGAAAGATGACAGAAATGCTGATTTAAGAAGCTGCCGTGTTCCTGAAAGGAAAACCTGTGCCGCGTTCCCTCTCAATGGTACTCGCGGGCGTGCAATGAATGGAGGGAGGGCTCCAGCACAGCTCTATTGCAATCGATAACAGAAAATGACTCTCGGTGATCATTACAAAAAGCTTCTTTTAAAATAGGAATAAAGAATCAATATTTCTACCTGGCAGAAAATTTCCGTAAACCCTATTAATAAACTATCTGCATTCTTTCACTTCCAGTTACTCCTGCTGCCTTTTGAAGTTGCTTAATGCCACCTGAACCACGTCGTGCGTCTCCACCGACACCTCGGGAGAGGCGGCGGCCCAGCCCAGCCGGCGGCAGGACATGCAGGACCCCAGCCCCACCGCCAGGTGCTGGTTCCCAGCCTCTTTTGGGATGAGAAACGGGAGAAATGAAGCACTTTTCCATGTTCTCCAGCTCCAGCACTGCCAACTCGCATCCCCCAGCAGACTGCTCCCGTGCTCCCCTCAGCACTGGTGCTATGGTCGCGCCAGTAAGCTCGTCTGGAGCTAACCAGAGTTATCCCAACCCATTTCTGTGGCTCTACACCTCAGTCCATGCTCTGAGCAACAGGACGATGTGCAGACATGCACGTGTGCGGGGAAGCCCCAAGCCGCCGTCTGCCCCACCGGTACGGTTTGCACGATAAGGATCCCTGGTGTAAGGGGTTAAGGGTCTCGGGCTGAATCCAGAGGTTTGAGCTTTACGCCTTTGGCTTCGTTCCTCAACCAGTTCCTTGATCGCCTTTGCACATCATCCTCTCCCTCCACTCTGCCCTGGGGAGGCCACATCTGGAGCACTGTGTCCAGTTCCGGGCTCCCCAGTTCAAGGAGGACAGGGAACTGCTGGAGAGAGTCCAGCCAGAGGCTACGGAGATGCTCAGGGGGTGGGATGGGGGGAGCTCTGAACGTCCTTTCCAACTCTGACTATTCTGGGATTCTGTGATTTACGCTCCCCTCAGCCCTCCCGGGCCCAGACCAGAGCGCGACGGCCCCCGCCACCCCGCCGCAGGGGCTCGGGAACGGCGCTGCTCGTCGTGGCAGAGTCGGAGGGTTGGCTCTGCGCAGGGTCGCGTCTCCCGCATCACCTCCATCACTCGCGTCCCGCGCGCAAGCAGGCAGCTACCCCAGGCAAACCCAGGATAATACGGCTCAACGTCTCGGTGCCTAATAGCCCGATCGGTGACTGCGTATTCATTGTCTTATGAAAACCCACTGCCTGTTCCTAAGCAACCCGATCAGTGAAAATTTCAGGTTTATGCAATTTTCATTTAGGTAACATAAAGGTTAACTGACTGTAATGGGAGTATTTTAAACAAAACCACCTACTCCTCCCCTTTCTGCCGCAAACCTCCACAGACCCTATTTACTTCGCTTGCCGGCAACACTTCCCCAAGCTACAACGCTCAGGCACTGCCAACGCTGTCAAAACACGCGCTTCTTGCAAACAAGCTGCCCCAACCCAGTGAAGTTTGGAGCAAAGTTCTTCTGGAGTTCATCTTTTGCTACTTTTCTGCCAAGAAGTGCTTGGGTCCTCGCAGGAGGCAACGGGAGAAGGGCAGAGAGGGGCTGGGGAGGGCTGGAGCGGGGATGTGTGTGTACAGCCCGGGAAACGGGGAAAACAGGGAAAATTGTTGAGCAGGAGCACGAGCAAGAGCGGTGTTAAGAGACCCACTCTCCAGACATCCCGAATCTCGGGCACAGCCACAGCAGGGCCAGCGATTTCCTCCGTCTCCTCTTCAGCGCTGTTGGGGCAGCAAGTCCTCCGGGAGAGAAACACCGCAGGGAGAGCTGCGGCGAGGACCGGCATGTCCCCCAGCCAGGGACACCAACCTCCACTCCCCTGTCCCCTGTCCCCCCACGCAGACCAGGCACGGGACGGTGCGGGCGCACGCCTGAGAGCGCAATGGCGGTCCCCACGGCACCCCACAGGGCTCCCAGGCCCTGATATCAAGACAAAAAGAGAAAGAAAAGGAAACAGAAAACTTCCCATCTCTGCTGGAGAGGGTCCAGCAAAGGGCTACAGAGATGATGGGGGGACTGGAGCACCTCTCTGATGAGGAAAGGCTGAGGGACGTGGGGCTGTTCAGTCTGGAGAAGAGAAGACTGAGGGGGGATCTCATCAGCGCTTATCAATCCTTCAAGGGAGGTGCCGGGGGATGGGGACAGTCTGTGTCCAGTGGTGCCCAGTGACAGGACAAGAGGGAACGGGCACAAAGGTGACCATGGGCAGTTCCATCTCCACCTGAGGAGGGCCTTCTCTGCTGTGAGGGCGGCAGAGCAGTGGCAGAGGCTGCCCAGAGAGGTGGGGGAGTCTCCCCCTCTGGAGCCATCCCAAACCCGCCTGGACGCCGTCCTGTGCCACTGCTGGAGGTGCCCCTGCTCTGGCGGGGGGTGGGATGGGGGAGCTCCAGAGGGCCCTTCCCACCCCACCACTCTGGGATGCTGTCAATTCATGGAGCAGCCACTCGCACGCTGCGGTGCCGCTGTCGGAGCGGGGCTGGGCACGAGGACAGAGCAGGGTATGTGTGCCCGGCACCAGCCCCATCACTGCCCCACAGGGACGAAGCCTTCAGAGCTTTCCAGGGAGGCTTAAGCCTGAGCCTTGATGGTGGGTTTCAGCCTAATTGAGCTGTGTGCTCCCCACAAAAACCTCAGTGCCCCCAGAAAGCCCCACAGCCCAAAGCCATCTGCTCTTTGCTACCTCCCCTCTCCATCAGCCGTCCCGGAGAGCCGAGGGACACGGCCAGCTCCACACCACCCCGCACACCAGCGCGGCAGCTCAGCAACGTCCTCTCAAACCGGCCTTTGCCTATTTTTAATCAGAGGGGCATTTAACAGGAGTAACGCCAATCTAATTTCTCCAGCCAAATGAGCGGGGGTGAGCACCAGAAGTGTGTCATTTCATTTCGCAACCACATTTTTCGGGTTCGCCACCACTCCAAATGTCACGGCGGCATTGGTTACACCTCGCGGCCGCTTGCGCTGCGAACAGTCAGGATGATAAAAACAATCTAGCCTGGCTCGATGGACAATTAACAGGAAAATGAAGTTTGGATTAGCACCGTTAGAAACAATAACCCAGTAATTAGCTTTTGCAACCACAAAACAGCCTACCGCTGCTCTCTGAAAGACTAGGGTAATTTATGATTTTCACAGCACACGAGGATATAAAGGGAATGGCAGTGAGCTGCAAAGAAGTTTTAACTGGGACTTAAAGGGGAAGAAAAAGTCATCAGTAGGAAAGAAAAATAATTCCTAAGCCTTTGTAAACAAATATACCCCATATTGAGGGCAAAAATATTCTCCGTCACCCAGCAGAGACTCTTTCTTTTTTTTTCCCGGCAGGGATGGCACGCAGGATAGGGGCTGCGTGACCCCATCCCGGCTGCATCGGGATTTTTACATCGGGTAAATTGGGTGGATTTTTACACTCCCCGTTCAGCAATGTCAGGCCTTGAGGTGCTCTGCAGGAGCTGCCCACGCACCATCCCATCGGCAAATGGGGAAAACGCAGCAACAGGAGGTGAAGCAACATGTTAGCAAACCGCTGGTGGGCTGCGATGGTGCCTCTTCCCCAAAAAAGGCAGCAAAAGGGGAAAAAAAGGGGCCAGGCGGCTTGTCTGCAAGAAGCCAGCCCGCTCCTCCACGGGGAAGGGGACGGACATGGCCATAACCATCCCACAGCCACAGTTACCGCGAGGGCAAACCCTGGAGGCAGCAGGGACGTCCCACGTGTGCCGGCAGAGCAGGACAGGCAATGGGGCTTCTCCAAGAGGGAACAGATCTGGATTTATGAGTCAGTGCTCAGCTCTGTACCGAATCACCCCCGAGAGCCTGCCCGATGCGGGTACTCTGCACATAAATCTGGATCCCGCACAAACTTTCAGCTCAGCATTTCTGTACATCTTAATCATTTCCAGATTTTTTCCACCTCCCCTGTACGAGGGATGTGCTTTGCTTTCAGCAGCCTAACAAAGAAAGTTTTAACTCTAAGGCTAAAAAAAAAAAAATAATATAAAAGTGCAGGGAAACTAAAATTCACTATTTTTGTTTAGTCTAGTTTGGAGAATTAACATTACACTGGGGTACTCTTGGGTCAAGTCGAGCAGTCAAAGCCACTGGAACCCCGGACGGCTGAGATGGGGAGTGAAAAGCCTCTTATACCCGGCGCAACAAAACACGCTGTCAGCTCCCAGCACCAGGATGTCTCAAAAACCCACGACCAACAGCTTTCCAGGGAAACCAGGGCTATTTTGGGGGAAGCAGAATGCGTACATATTCACAATGCACAAAACCCCATTTTACCACCCAAAGACAAGGCAACTTTGTCTTGCCGGCAACGTGCGAGTCACAGTTAGCTGAGATTCGGTTACCTCGGGGAGGCCGTGGCGTTCGTGCCACGGCAAGCCAAAACGAGCGCGCCTCTAACAGAGAAACCTGTATTCGCCCAGTCCCGCTGCAGAGGCAGCGCCACACCAGGCAACTGCAGGAAGGTTATAAGCGTATTTAAAAAAAATTAGATCCCTGACAAAGGTGGGGTGGGGATGACGGGGTGAGAAGCTGCTCAGCGTGTCCTCAGAGCGTAAGAGAAGTCGGCCGCTACGGGAGAGCAGAGTCCTCTGCCACTTTCCTGCAATTCATCAATTCAGTTTGTCCCCAAAGAACCTGACAGGACCCAGCGCTGGGCAGCTCTCACGGTCCTGCGCGGGCTGGAGAACGCAGCCACCCCTGGAGACCCCGGCAAGGGCAGTGTCACCGGACAGCTCACCAGCTACGTCATTTACAGCACATTCGAGACCAACACTACAGAGGGCACCCATCCTGCAAGCGGGCCACGGTGTCCTTCACCTGACAGACGGGGTTTCCAAAGCGACCGCCCCTTCAGCCTCACCACTGATGGCAGAGACACCTTGTGTACCTGCCCACCCTGCACGGGCTCCTATCACCCTCACTCCTGCAATGAGCCCTCTGCCGAGAACCCATCACCACCACCATCGACCTTTACGCATGACAGCTCACAGCAGTGCCCATATACGCTCTCCCACAACACATGGGTCAGGCCCCGGCTCGACATGCTGGCAGTGATCCTACCGTAGGAAACGCGCAGCGATGCTCCCCCGGGACTCGCTGACAACCAGACTCCCCACTGTCAGGGACACTTTTAGCCTCGGTGCCCATATACCCCACTTGCGATGACATGTCCCTTTTGGTTGGTCCTACAGATGTGCCAAATGAAGGGACAACCCCAACTCCAAAGAAGTTCCCGGGGATTTCAGTAGGGTCCTCGAACTGGAGCTGCCACACTTAATTTCTGGCCACCGGAGGTTGTTTCTTAACTCTCCGGTTACTTGCTTTGAGGGTAAAAGGAGGGTCAGTGTCCCCACGGAGGGCTGGGAGGGGGGAGGGAGTGACAAAGCGCAATGAGCTTTGCAGATTTGGGACAAAAGCATCTATACTCTAAAGTATTTGGATGAACACCCAAAGGCACATCGTGTGTGATATACACGTCTAAAACATCACCACACAGTGAAGGCTGCCAGTCCGGGGAGAAGCCCGATGAATGCTGATCCATTGAAAAAACCCACAACAAAAAACCCACGAAACCCCCAAAACCCACCACGAGAGAGAGAGAAACAGCCACAGGTGCTACGCAGCGCCAAAGCCTATTTTAAAACAGCCTAACACTTTTGTCAGCTGCTCCAGGGTCTGACTGGAGATCCCGACTTCAAGTGCAAAGCGCCTGGGCCAGGCTCGGCTCATCCCACCATACCCGTGATGTGAACGGCTCTACCACAGTGGAATCTAAAGGAAAATAAATCACTCCATCACATTTCTTTTCCAGCTACTTTTGCACCCCTGTAGAAAACCATGTTTCTCTTTGCAGAGCAGCCTGCTCGCATCAGAGGAACGATATTCTGGGGATAACTTGTTTGGGTTCTATTTGTTCCCCCTTTGCAATGTCTGGAGAGCATCTTTGGCCTCCCACGTAAATTCCAAGTTTCATTTATTAAAATACCTCCCTGGCATTTTCTTTTTGCTCTCACACTGCTCGTTTAATATTACATTTGACATTCTAAGCTTTACGGATGGCAACAGAAGCAGAATGGGTGGGCTAAAAATAGCCTGCCAGGGAGACGGGAGGCTAGAAATAGGCTGGGGAACAACAGCAGCCCCGCGCCCCTTTGCTTGCCCCCGCGTTTTGGGGAAATGACAGCGTTGAGGAGATGAGAAAGAGCGAGCTCGGGGCGAGCTGGCGCCCGCAGAGCCACGGCTGCCCCAGCTGAGGGGACGGAGTGTCCGTGTCGCAGCTCACCGAGCGGCTGCAAAGCCCATCGCCCCGAGCTGGGGCTGCGAGACCCCGTCCCCTTCGCAGCTCAGCGCTAGAGGGGGACACGTTAAAAATGAAGCAGGGGTTGTTGGTCTCCAAGGGCGCTGCGGAAAGTCCGTCTGAGCCCAACTCTGACCCCCAGCCAGCTGCGTGTCACCTCCGGCCATCTGCACCGGCTCACTGTCACACACGCGTGCACAAGCTCTCCTGCCCCTGCATGGGTTTGGGAATTAATCCGCAGACACATCAGCAATACGATGAGTCAGTCCCAAGACAGGATCATGTCTCATCTCCTCCCTCGTGGGCTGCTTTTAAAATTAGGGCTGTAGAAGAAGTGACAAGAAGAGAATGCTCAAAAGCATCGCGGCATCTGGATCGTGCACCAAGCAGGCACAGAGCGGGGAAGAAGATCTTTTAATTATCCACAACAACAAAACACCAACAGCCTACACTGTTTCTTTTGCTCTTTGTGATGTTCTGCGAGTGTTTTCGCCCTGTCCCACCCTCCACCTTCCCTGCACTGCTGTTACCCCCCGTGCAGCCTTTCATCTGGGAAGAAGCCCTCCCACCCACGCTCCTCCCCGAGCCGGGCTCTGCAAACAGCCGGGGAAGGTTTGCACAGCGCAGGAGTGCGGACCCTGCTGGGAACCATCAAATAATGCTCTCTGCCCCGCTGCCGGTTTTGTTGGGACACAGCAGCACCCTGCTGCTCCTTCCAGCCCAGGGCCATACTGGGCAGCGCTGACCCGCACCAGGCGAAGGCTGAGCCCCCCTCTGCAGACAAACCTATGGAGTGAAAACCTACGGGGTACGACGTGACACGCACCCACCCGCGACGAAGCGGGAGGAAAATCCTGGAGTGTGGCACTGCAGCTCTTCCCTCCCCACTGACGTGTCTTACCTAAATTTACATTCCAAGCGTTTCTAATTTGTTGCTGGGTCTGTCGCCTGGATGCCGGGGTGGGGGCGGCTGTGGCTCATTCTTTTTGTTTTGTTTTCAGGCAGATTAATCAGCATTTAGTAACTCTACAGCAGAACCAGTCTCCCCCACAACCCACACGTATCTCGGGCGAGGTATCGCTGGTGGTGGGCAGGAAAGCCCCGGAGCAGGCGGCGGCGGGGGAAGCAGGGGGATGCAGGGACAGGGCAGGGGCAAAGCCCGCGGCACCCCCCGAGGTGGGGCGAGAGGCTGCTGGGCAAGGGGAGCTGCCCCGGCCCTGCCATCCCACCACGCAGTTTGCCAAGGGGACCCTCGCTTTTATTTCAGATGCATATTGCAGCGAGGAACAATATGAAGAATATTATTTCGGTGCCCTGGGAAAAATTAGCAAGTCAAATATTGAATCAGGCCTCCAGCATATGCCAAGGAGATTGCTTTGATCTTATCCACACTAAAAGCTCTATTATTGAATTTAAAGTCTGTGAACACATATCAGACCAATATACAATGCATATCTGAATACACATTTGAGAAGCAAAGGATGTTTTGACAAAGGGAAAAAGAATATTTTAGCTGAGAATATCAAAGTTACTGCATCAATTGAAATACAGATGCCCTTTTTCATCTGCCTCAGTGGCTTTCCTGACAGGGCAACCCGCAACCTGGGACCTGACTGTCGTTCAGGAGAATCTTCACCCAGGTCTGGCTCCTGGGCTGGGCCTGGCTCGATGGCAGAGAGCCGCGACTTCCCAGGGGACACGGTCCAGCAGGCAGCACCGTCAGAGCAGCACCAGGACTCGGGAGCTCAACCAGAACAGCTATTCTGGGAGCACAGGGTCTGTAGCACCTTTCCCCTTCCCTCCCGAGAAGCCCTCACGCAGCCGTTCGGCAGCCGCCATGGCGCGTCCCAAGAGAGCAGGGCAGGAGAAGGAGGGCTTCTCCAAGGATGGCCAAGATGCTGAGCAGGTCCATTCACACCACCTTCACCCCTTTGGCTTCCCACACCAAAACCTGCTCCGGGGCGGCTGCCTCAGCTCGTGGGGGGACAGACAGCTGTCCTGCTGGCAGGGGGACGGCAGCAGGGACCGAGCAAGCCGTGGTTGAGGCTCAGCAGCCCGTCCCCATGACACCTCCGCCAGGCACGGCGTGCCCAGCACCCCATTAACCTCACGGAGAAGGTTGTCCCAAAGGGCCACCACCCGGGCACGGCACCTGCCCATGACAAAGGGGGAGAGCTCGCCCCCGCCGACACACGCCGCAGAACAAAACCGACTCACCATTTTATTATTGATTTCGTGGAAATGAATTTCACAGACTTTTTCCACCACGTCTTCATTTTCAAAAGTTACGAAGCCAAATCCTGTTTAATAAAGAAACAAAAAGGGGAGAGGGAAAGGAAAATATTAGTTAGGTTAAACAATGTAATTTCAGTAAAGCACCATTTAGCCATCGGGACTTTGGAAAACTTTCATAAAAATATGCACGTGTAAATACACCTGCTGTCTATGGAGCTGTCGCTGAACTTGTTATAAACTAATGGAGGGAAGAAGTATTGTCTCGGGGAAAATTAATACAGTTCTGTTCCAGCTCTTCCATAGGATTTAATGGAGAATTAAAACCTCCTTATGGATTTTTTGATCCATCCTGCAGAATTTAATGGATAGTTACACCCTGGTTACACAAGGGCTCAGAAACTACAATAAGGCTGTATTTTCTTTTACACCTTGTAGGTTTTTAAGAGCAATCTCTACAAAACCCAATTATATTTCTATGGAACCATATTGATTTTATCTCTTGTTTAATTCCACCGGACTTCTCCATTAGAGCTGACTCATTACACGACCCAAAAAAACCCCAAATCTGGGAAGACAGAAGATAATTCCTCATTTACCCCTAGCGAGGAAAAAAACCCTACCGCTTCCCCAAACACGCAGCAGCGCTTTGTGTTTCCAGCTGCTTTGAGCCAAACCACCGGTCCCCGCTGCTGTGTGCTGGGGCCGGCGGCGCAGCCACCGCAGCTCCGTCCCGTGCGGATGCAGCCGGCCCCGCGGGTCAGCCGCGCTCCGGAGGTGGTTATTTGTCCCTTTCTTCCTGAATTACTTCCTCTAATACCTCATCAGGACATCCTGAGGTCTCCGAGAAACCATTACGTTTAAGGCTTCTGATCTAATCATTCCTCTCTTCGCCACTGCCGCTTCAAAGGAGCGGTGGATTTGGGCTGGTTTCGGGTGGTTTGATGCCTGCTGCCCGCTCGTAGCTCTACACTGTATCCTCTCTGCTGGGGCCACGCGGCTGCAGGAACGCCACGCTAAAGAAATCCGGCAGCCCACCACAGCTACACACAGCCACGTTCCCCACTCATTCCTTACAAGAAAAATACAACCAAGCCAACAAACAAAAAACAATCTTATGCACTATGTATCTGGCAAAGGCTTGATGAGTCAACATCGACGTCAATTAAGCTAATGAAATCTCAGATATGTAACAACAGGATGAACTCCATCCCCCAAACCGCACTGAAAACACTGCTGGACTCGAGGCTGGTGAAACAGCACGTGAAGCGCCTTCGTGGCACCGGGCTGAGCCGGAGCTGGGGCAGCGCTGTCGCTCCTGCTGGGGTGACGGGGGAAGGAGGAGGGAGGGAAACCAACGCTGCCCGGTGTTATTTATCCTGAAGAGTTTTGCCCAGTGAGCATCCTTCCCCTCAGCCATCCACAGCAGCGAAACAGTTTTGTCTGTGCTGACTCCGACGGAGCCGTGTCCCATCTGCCACCGGCCGTGTGTCCGTCCATCCCTCTCTGCCCATCCCAGCCCCCGGCTGTTCGGGAACACAGCAGCGAAGCCCCATCTCAGACCCATTTTGCTACTGTCGCTTCCTCTCTGCAATGAGCGCCTTCCAGTACCGGACCCGCTCCCACTCCAGCAGCGGGGAGTGCCGTGGTCGTGTCCTGCTGGTCCCAAGTGCCACCTCCAACCTGCTCCCTCTGCCAGACCCAGTGCTCCCAGAAGCAGGCAGGTTCTGCGCTGGGGTCCCAAAGCATCGTTTTAAACACCCACTAGATTTGCTTTGAAGGGGCACAGCAGAAGATATTAAAACTAGACGGATTTTGGCAACCTTCAGGTACAAGATACATTTTGCAGGCTGCAGTATTTGAAGGCGTAAAGCACATTTGCTGGTTCCCGTGTGGGCCAAGGCAATGTCCGAGCAGCTCCCAGCCGGCTTGTTTGGGAACGCACAGTACACGTAGCAATGGCCCATCCCTCTTTGGACCCTCTTCTTGGGGGAAAAAACACCAGAAATGGTTTCTAGATCTCCTCCAAGGCATAACACATCATCCGACAGCACATCACACTCAAACCCAGTGCTCGGAACACTATTTTACTTTGCACTTAAAGCATGTAGCAGCTTGAAGTATTTTACTTAAGTCTTTCATTTGCCTTCTAAATTACTCCATTTAAATCTACCTTAAACAGACCTGTAGTTAAAACTAAAATTTTTGTGGTTAACTGGCTGAATACGGCATCCCAGGAATCCTGGAGCGCGCTGCGCCGGGCAATTACCGGAGCTGGGAGCAGCGTGCCGCCGGGGACCAGCTTTGCCCAGTGCAATGAGACGGCCAGTCCGGGTCTACAAGTCATTAATTGTTTGAGCACCAGCAACATCTTCATCATTAGTAACTCATTAGCGAGTACCGCAGTTGAGGATTTCTCTTTCAACTTTTGTCAGGTCTGGCTGCCAGGATGGAGGAGCGAGAGGGAATTTAGAGGAGATTAGCCTTAATATGCATAACACCGCAAGAAAGCCCGCTGCAGTCATTACACGTTTGGACTCGGAAACAAGTTTCCCGTTCTCATCCCACTCCATATGGCTCAAACACAGGTTTATCAGGAAATTATCTGTCTGATTAAATCAGATAGCCACCCAGCTTTCTGCATTTACAGATTTTACAACAAGAATAAACCAACAGCCTATAGGTGTCAACACTCATTTGCGGGTTTTTGAAAGATCTGTGCCGTTTCGCGCAGGCCAGTCTAGCTGGCTTGGCAGGAAAATCCAGCCGTGATTGGGTCTGCAGGAAAACCCAACGCCACCGCGTATGCCCTCCTCTCTGAAGCGGCAGAAGGGCAGGGCGGGCAGCTCCGGAGCATCCAGAGCCCACGCAGGGCACTCCATCCATACCTGAAGGCTCCCTATATTTTACCTTTACCATTACCGACATCTTTAACTGATTGAGAAGCAACCAGAGGATTTAAACCTGCACGCATACAGCCACTTAAAATCCAAAGGATGCGATCCGAGAGATGCTATTGCTCCTTAAATGAACAGTCCGCATACGCCCCAGAATTAAAAACTTCATAAAAGTAACGGGTAATGGGTCCTTTTTTTTGGTTCACTTTTTGAATATCAGATTCCAACTTTTAATAATTGCGCACACAAAAAAACATTACTGCATGCATGCCTTATTAGTTAGTATAATGAATACATGCTCATTTTTGAATTACCAAAACTCTCAGAAACCTTCCTGGACTAAATAGACAATTATTTCTTCTGAGAGGTACTAAGAGTCAACAAAAAAAATGGTTCTCGGAAAGTGTATGAAAAAGATTAACACAAAACAAAGAAGGCTGTTTAAAACGGTGACATAAATAGGATTCCGGTTGTCAAGGAGCACACATTTTAAAATGAAATTATACTGCATCCTTCTGAATGAAGCTATTATTGGAAGCTAACAAGCTCTATTTAAGAGATAAGCATTTAACAGAGTCAAACGGTTGGGGTTTTTATTCAAATGAATAAAACTGAATATTCATTTGAATAATCTTTTCTGTAAAAGAAAAGACAAAGAAGAGGGGAAAAAATAAAGTAAGAGGCAAACAGATGCCCCCGAACGGGAGGCTCTGAGCCAAGCGCGATCACTAAAGGAAGCTGAGACACGTATTCACGACCTTCAGGTGAAAATACCCTCCTTCAGCATCTGCTCGGAAGAAGGAGTCATTTCCCTCCCCTCATCCGCTGGGTAACGGGCACCGACAGGCACCGCAGCGACGCCGGGGACCGGCCGAGCCCCGGGGCTGGGAGCG